CAACATTCCATGTTGTCCTTTGATTTTTTGGTGCGCCCTGCCCCCCCCTGGAGGGAAAAAAGATTAAAGGTTGCCCACTGAGGGTAAGAAGAAAACCTCTCAATCCGAGAAGTACCTACCTGCACTAGGGTTACTTATATGTTTTCTGTCTGAAAACCAACTTGCGCGAAATCATCCAGCTGGCGTGAAAGGCAGTCACAGAAATATCACCATGCAAAACCCATCCAAAACCCGATGGGGTCATGCTCCGATTGCCAGATTTGGGAAGGATGCAACTGTCTAGTACTACTCACACCAAGCCCCCTTCTTCCTTAAGCTTTTTGGGGAAAAAGACCGCAGGGCGAGCTTCAAGCCGAGCCACAACTAGGCCGATGAAGAGAAAGCCAGCACCCATGGACGAAGCCAACAAGGTGCCTCACACGCAAGGCGGATCGGTCGAAGCAGAACGAAATCCATGCGCTGCCGGGAAAAGAGTGTTCAGCAGTTTTCCACAATCTTCAAAACACCTGGAAAAGCACGCTGAGATATGGTGTATGTTTCAGCGTTGCCATGGTTTGCATCCCAAAAGGAATGTATGTTTCCTCCAAGTAGAACATCATTGAGAGAAATCAGGGTGAAACGGCCTAAGCAGGAAGAAAAATTGGATATCTCAATCATACACATTGGGTCTATCCTAATACCTGTAACATCCTGTAACAGTGGATGATGATGGCTAGGAAAGGCCTTGTTCAAACATAGTGATAATTGTTTACTGACTGTTACAGGTAGTAGGACAGACCCCACATAAACATGTTACATGGAAGCCTTGACCAATCACTGGGCCTTGAAAATTATATGTTCGATCCTTTTTATTGGTTCGGAACATAGTTTTTTAGGATCCGGCAGGTCACCACACTTCACGACCAGCTGAGGTAAGAGGAGAACCTTCAATCTTCAAAGACTGAGGTGAGACCAACAGGAGGCAGGAGAACACCTCTCATGCTAGCTGAGGTGAGAAGGAGAAATCTCAATCTTCACCAAAGATTGCTTAGGTTGCAAGCATCAAATAGATTGGTGTCCATTTCTTGATTGGTGCCTACACTCCTGAAAACCTAACCGCCTCCCCCCCAAAAGAACAAGCAGTTACAGTTGCCGGCACAAATGATCCAACTGATCCATGCTCGCTGCTGCTCGGTGGTCGGACCTCTCAGCCTCTCAGGTCCATCGTCTCCATCGTTCCAAGCGGCGGCCCAGGAGTGGCACGTGCAACTCGATGGGCGGCGACATCGTCGAATCACCTGGGCGATGAGACCTTTTCATGTACCTGAGATTGGCTTTAAACTTATAGGCGCCCCGGTGCGCAAAACGTAAAACGTAAGGTTCCGCACGTGTAATCCAAACTGTACAGCTCCCTCCTTAAAATCCAGGCCCCATCCAAATACCTATGTGCATTGTCCTCGGCTAAATGCATCTGTGTGGTCTGGAGGTCCACTTTGCGGAAATATGTTTGTCTGTCAACAAAAAGACACTATGGGGTACTGCTCGATGCTTTTCTGTCACTTTTGGAAATGCATTTGGGAATTGTTTGTGTCCAAGCTATGGGCTATGGGGTGCTACTGGATGCGTTTTTTCTGGCTCTTGAAAATGCATTTGGGATGTTTCTGTGTTCGATGGCCTTCGTCTGTTTATGCATGAGGAAGTTCCAAAAACGCACCTGAGCTCCAAAACGTGGGAACGTACGGGTCGAAACGTTAGTGTTAAAAACGCAAGGTTCGAACGCACAAAACGTAAGTAACCAGACAGCTAAGGCTTTAAGATATTTGGCTTGGAGGGACGTTGTAGATGGGGTTCCACCTGGTTCCACACTGTTCGGCCAGTCGACTTGAGACTATCACATATACTGCCATCACCAGGTGTATAACTAAGGGGCGGAAGGCCGTTCCGAACAAAGCCTTCCACTGCCAACCGAGACATCCCGAGGCATTCCGAGGAGCTAGTGCGGGTCGAGGGATCCGGCGTCGGCACGATGGTGGAGGACTTCCCTGTCACTGACGGCCTGGCTGGAGTGGAAGATGTGAAGGGCGCGTATATTGCCGCGGAGGCCATTGCTACTAGGTTGGAGGCCATCACTAGTAGGTTGGAGGCCGTCGCTCATAGGTTGGAGATGGTTGGAAGCCATTACTAGTAGGTTTGTTTGAACTCACATCCGCACGAACTGCACGAAAACCGCCTTGAGATCTGTTTTTTTGGTGCAAAGGAAAGCAAATGGGTGGGATGTGGTGGGTCAAGCTGCCTGGTATTCCACCTCGATTTGGCAATGGAATTCTACGACCCCACTGACCTGTCGACTGCAGGCTCATCGTCAAGTGGAAACCTCTGAAGTCTAGTCAGAGCGAAAATCGTTTTGGTGCGCTACCCCAAGGTCAGTGATCGATCTCCTGGAGCTTCGATGGATATATCTATAGGTTGACTCAGTCGATGAACGCCGAACTGGAACAATGGATCGATGCCGCCGGATCTGCGACGCAGTCGGCCGGCGAATGAAGGGCATGCCTTGGGGCGTTGGGCTCTGGGCCGTGGTTTGCCTCGAAAGGGTCTTTCAAGGTACCTGGAGTTGACCAGATACCATGTCGTACCTCAGAAAATGGGTCCAGGTATTGTACAGGTACCTGTTTTTGATAATTAGGGTCCAGGTATACTTCAATGGGCCCATTGAAGTCTACGGAGTCAAGTAGGTCATTGAGATGGAAGGAAACCCAAACATGTGAGACACGCCTTGGGACTCATAGCCTCAACCTTTTCCCAAAAAAACCTTGGCACCTTGAATGTATCCCCACTTCATCCCATGGCATGTGCCCCGTGGTTGGCCCTGCAGCCAACAGACCAGACTTCCCCCGTTCCTCACTCGTCGCTCCGCCTGAACTCATCGCTGGCGAGCACGACCATCGGGGCCACCGGCGGCGGATTTCCACACCGCCGAGAGGAACTTTTCCGGCCAACAGCCGCGGAGACGGCGCGACGCTTTTCAAGGACGTCACGCCACAAGAAGGTGGGCCCAGCTATTGTAAGTCATGTGTAAATTCTATGTTCCTGTCGAGGACGTTCCAACGCAAGTGGACTCGCCCGTCCGAGGAATGGACATGCGTTTTGTGTAACGAGCTGGGACTATACAAAAATAAGAGGATCCTCTGATCCCTAACTTGGACAAGTCCATTTGGGTCAAGGGAGGTTGGAGCTCTGATCCATTTTGACCCATGATGTTCTTTCTTGATCCATGGCCAGTTCTCCTACGGACCCCCCCACGGGCTACGGCTTCGCCGAGGAGCCCCATGTATAGGAGGGTCTTAAGCTTCCCGAGCCGGAGACAGCGCGGAAGCAGCAGATCGGCTTTTCCGTGGTGGTTCAAACCTTCAAACAGTCTGGGAAAATCCCAAGACTTGAGACCATGAAGGAATATGAACGATGATGTTATGGTACCCAGTATTTCACGAATATGGCCATTGACCACCAAGAACCAGCAGTCAGGAGGGCCATATAGGCCCTGCAGCCCCTTGGAGCGTCGTCTATAGGGACGAGAGGGAGCTCCCAGCTCCAAGAAGTGGTTTATCTGGATTTGCAGAAACGGTGTCCAAATATTACATCCTCCCTTATAGTGATCCCCAAATAGATAGTGGCACGGTGTCCAAGACATCTTTACTGGTGATTTTACTCGTCTATCTATTTGAGGGGTTGTATAATGACCTCGAGTACCCCATTCGTTCATCTTGTTTCACCTTGTTTCAGCACTTTGACATGCGTGTTGGTTTGAAGTGGGTTGGTCTCATCACAGGAATGGCTTCAAAAACACCGGACCGGAGACCAAGACAAACATCGGATGTCCGGCATGCCCCCACTTCCCACCTTTCTGACCCTTTCCGTTCTACAAACGGTACGCTTGGGAGACAAAAGGTTGGAGGGTCTCAGTACCTTGTGGACAGTTAGAGGAAGACTCCTGGAGCAGATAAAATCGTTTAACATCCCAAAAAACAATAGGAAACATATATGGAAGCATGGCCTCTTTTTGTGGATTGGATTGTTAATATTCCATCTATTCTATATACTGCAGGATGGTTGTATTTGGAGACCGGATCCTCTAAACGGCCCGGGGGGGTCCATGCCCCGATGAGTCCGGCGGTGTTCGGCTGCCGTGTGTTTGGGCCATGGGGCTTTCCCAGTGGAGCCGTGGACATGCCTCTAAGTGCGGGACCAATCATGAAACTGCCAATGAAAATGCAGAAGAAAATGGCCAAGATGGTTCCAGGCTGCCACTCCTCACATCGGAAAAGATCTGTGAGAGGAAGGCTGGCTGGCAGGATGCTCTTTCTGCCAGGCCCCTTATCTGCACAGTGAAGGCACGCATGTATCGTTTGCAAATGTAATTGCGTAGCACAGTCGACCACATATTGCTGTGTTTCCAAAGGGGTGCTAAGAGGGCTGTGTGGCTTTGGGGAAACCTAAGGTTACCACCAAAGGCTAACGAAGCCTGAACGACCTCGAAATGAGTTTGTGAAGAGTGTGTTTCCTGAATAGACAAAGTAACATGATGTAACATGTGGGCTTCACAAGCATCTAGGCTTTAAGATTGGACAAATCCAGGCTCTCTTCTTGTGCATGCAGCTCCGGCCTCGCCAGTGGCCGGGTTCTTCTCTTCGTGGTAGCGCAAAGTCATGCCGAACCAAAAGGCCAAGGCATAGCCCTAGAAGACCACCATCCTGAGGTGTTTCATGGGTTTGTCCATGTGGTTCCTTTCCGCAAAGTTTATCCAAACATGCGAATCCTCTTTGGGTTTAGTTTCCTTTTTGGGTGCAATGTGGTTTCTCCCAGAGCTACCTTGTACAGGTCCAAGTGACACCCTTGTGCCCTTGTACCCGAAAAAAGATATATAAGTCCTTCGGATCAGGTGTTTCAGACCGCAGGACGATGCAGCAGGTCCGTCCCTTCGCTTTCATGTTCCCTTCAAGCCTTCACTGACCTTTCACCGACCTCCGACATCCTCTGACTCCACCAGGCGGCATGGTGTAGCCCATGCCAGCGCCGATCTTGAAGCCGTTGCGAACCTCGGGCATCCGGAGCCGGCGAAGGGGACGCATCCCAGGGCGCACGGCGAGGGGAACGAGGTCAACCGGTGGTGCAACGAAAAAGAAAGGACTCTGAATGCACGTCTGTAGAGTCACTGTGAATCAGTCAGGTTCTCTTTTTGCGAAGAAAAGAGATCATGCCAGACATCACATCGAAGATGTTTCGGGAATCCCTCCCCTGTCCTTCTCCCAAATCCCCACCCACCTACCATCTACCCCACCAGATCGACCCACCCAACGCACCCAGGGTCCCAGCACTGGGCTGCCAAGGCGCTCCGCCGCGGCGCGCCTGCACGAGCGCCTGGCTGAAGCGTTGCAACTCCTTGTGTTCGCCACCGAAGGCCACCACCGTGCGCATGGCGAACAAGCACTCCTGGCGGCAGAACGGCGCAGCGGTGGCGCAGCGTTGGCGCTGACTGGTTTTGGGGAGGAGGGTGGCGACTGGACCTGGAGGGGGGTTGCGACTGGAAGAAGACGAAAAAGAGGAACAGGGCGCCTTGTTCCTGTTTTTGCAAGCTCTTCCAAAGTTTCGCTGAACATTTCGTGGCCACCAGAGTTGCTGCAGGCTGGCCATGAATCCCACCACCAACAGCTTCATTATCGCCATTCGACCCAACTGTCGGGCCACCGACCCAACGACGACGCGAAGCACAACGACGCGTATGCCAAAACACCGAATCGGTCTCCTCGACGACGGCAGAGGCTTTGGCGTACCAACTCTGAGACTCCAGCTGGATTTCCTGCACCGCCTGGCCATTCGTTCGCCACGGTGTACACGGAGCGGTGCGGAGTCGGACTTCACCGGTCGACCGGCGATAGGGCGCTGCGAGGGGTCGGTGGGGGGGGTCAGGGTCGGTCAGTGGCGAATCTCCACCAGAATCCAGGATTGACCCACTTTCAAGTGAAGGAGATTTGGGGTGAGACGAACATGAACGAGATGTTGGCTGTGAATGTCCTCCCATCGGCCCACGGCCCATGGCTCGGCCTTGCCCATCAAGGCAGCTCCCACACCCATGAAAGGCAGAATGGCACACATCACCAGCGCCACTAGCCAGCCTCAGCCAGCAAGACCCTCAGGTAACAGGTCGTAGGTGCGGACCCGAAGGTCGTGTCCGGCCATCATCCTCAAACTCCTCATGTTTGCCGAGGGAGACAACCCTGATTCAATCTTGATCCGATCGAGCAGAGCCCATCCGATCTCACCCCTGAGCTCGCTTCTTGTTACTACTATAGCTAGTAAGGCACTTGTTCCTAATAGCGAACTTTGTTACTATAGTAGTAAGGCACTTGTTACTACTAGCGAGGCACTTGTTACTTCTTTTAATCTGCACATCCGATCATCCGAGAATCTGCCCGTCACACTGTACACCACAAATCTGCACACCGCCACTGGCGGCAGAAAGCCGGTGTGTTTCGCCGGTGACGGCGATGTGACACATCGGTCCGGTGTCGAAGGCCAAGACTCGTCACACATACGGCCGGCACTCCGAAAGGCGGGTGGTTGAACCATCTTCGCTTTCCTTTCAACTCCAAAAAGCAAACCATGTTTTGCACTCATGACTCACTTCTTAACATGGAAGTGGAAGCCTTGACTCTGGATAGATTGTGTAGGACTGGTTCCACTTCCATGTTAGTGAGCCAAACTGAGTCGGAGGGGTAAAGTGAAAAATAAAAAAGGCTCGTCCTCCTCGCTTCCATCTCAATCGCATGTTCAAACCCTCCACCACCGAACTGTCTTCTACGCCCCAAAAGAATAGCCTCCGCTCGTGCTCGGTGTTCCACCGCCTCTGATCTTGGTCACCGCTCACCACTCACACCGACACCGCGGTCACCAGTCACACCGAGGCGCCCATGCCGAAGGCGCAGCCGAAGCCGCCCAGGAAGGCGCTCAAGGCCATGACGCCGTTGCCGAACTTGTCCCCGAAGGCGTCCTGGATCTTCCTGGCAGACGCGCGCGCGAACCGCGCGGAGGGCGCCGCGGAACCGCGCAACTCGTTCCACCCGTGCGCGTTCGGAAGCGGTTGGAGGCCCGGAAAGAGGGAGGCGGGAGGCAAGATGTTTTGGTTGGTAAGGAGGGTGGGGGATGTGTTGGAGACCCTGGCGGGACCCAGGATTCAGGGAGATTGACTGCGAGATCCCAACCAATTGCAGTCTTTGTTGCAAATCCAAACCAGAGGGATGATAAACAATCACTGGGTGAGTGTGATTGTTAACCGATGTTGAGATCACCTGCGGCCACCGAAGGAACGTGATAGTTCCGGCATTGCATGTTGTCATGTTGATAGTTCTTTCTTCACCAGCAGCTTGAGGCCCTGGGTTTAAAAGATATAGGAAGATGCAACAACTTGTGGAACAACTTGTGGAATTCTGGGTGAAGGATGGTAATGGGGACGTATGGTGAAGGTGCTTCACAGGTGGGCACATCAGAGCCTACCCTCTGCTCCCCCCCACCGGCGTCAGGGCGACGTGGTCTCGACCGAGACATGACGGTTCTTCGAGATGTGCTTTTCTGGACCAGAAAAAAACCGGAAACAAGAAAAGGCACACACCAGACCACTTGGAGACTCACTTGGAGAGACAAGTGAAAAGGTCTTTCCCAAGGCAAATAGCCCCATCGAAAGCACAGCGTGCTCTTACCACTTCCAGGCAGGTAGGACGCAAACCATCTTTGTATGGAATGGCTACTTACATTGACCCCATCTATGACCCATCCATTGTAGAACTATTCTAGTCCCATGGTCCTGGGATCCCACGGTGTTCGGAGTAAGAACGTTCTGGTCCTGCGAAGGACAGGGGTCGTGACGTTGGTGCTGGGCCGGTCCGGTCGACCCGCCCAGTGGACTGCCCAGTGGCTCCAAATCGTCATTGATCTCCGCGGGCAACGCTGCGACTTCTTTCAAGTCGAACCAACCCACGTCCTGTTTCGCAAGGGATGGAGAGAAGCCGCAAAAAGGGGTGCATGCATGTGAATGCGAATGTTTGGGGCAGTTTTGCTTTGTGGGGATGCTCATTTCGCTGATCTACATCTTCTTCCCTTCCCAAACTGCATCAAATATGTTACTACATTGTTACTACAAAATCAGGCCTTACTTTACAGCGTCATGTGACGTTAGATGCTCTCATACTGAGTGATTTCTCAATCAGAGATGACCATCCAAAGTCCGGACATGTGTCATCGATGCAACTGGGGAGGACCATGAACATTGAAAAACAAAAAGCACGGTTTAAACATGTGTTAAATGAAAACTTTAAACCATAATGATTGATCATTGGATATAATTGGTGTTCTTCCTTCGCCCTCCAAAATCAGATCCGGTCGATCCGGTAAATCGCTTGGTGGGTCATCTGAAGATTCAACGATCAAAGAGATCTGCATGTATGACATGTTTACAATTTTGAGGGTGGTTCATAGCAAGAGAACTTTTATGGATGCACATTCCTTCTGAGAAGGTGATTGGATACCATTATGTGGGCTTGGAGTGACCAAATGCCTTCCCTCGGGCACAGATGCAGCAGCCTGTCTGACCTCCATGGCCGCCAGACTTCAGCGTTTCTGGGGTCCACTCTCTGCTCTAGCTATCCCCGACCCAACGATGTTCCTAGCACACTTGCCCAAACACTCCGTGGGACATATGGCCTACATGTTGGTGGTTCTTGTGAATCTAGGAGCGGCAATTCGCCATGCAAACCGTCTTGCACCAAGCTCATTGCTTCACCAAAATCTCTCACCAAACCTCACCGGCTCCGACCGGTCAGACCGTGGTCAGACCGTGGGGGCCTCGGGCGGTCGACCAGCATCTCGCAGCACTTCGGGTCGGGTTTTGATTTTCTCTTAGTGGCCCTGAGGTCGCGTCATCGCCCGCGAGTGACCCCAATCCTCGGTGGAAAACCACCCAAACATACCTAGACCATCCTGTCTGGGTGTCCTGTCTGGACATCTACAAGTAGCATAGCGTAGTCCATTGGACACCCAAATAGGATGGTCCTGCTACACACAACGATTCCTACGTCGAACTCACCGGTCTTCGTGGTTTTGGAGCAGGGCAGTCGTCTCGTTGAATCCGGTCGAATCCGCTTCCCGTGTACCTGGTGGAGAACGATGTCGAAGTACTCGATACGGAACTTGAAGGCCCTGAGAGACGCGAGGCAAGTTCGCCAGTTCTCAGTTCGGCATACGCCCTTTGAGGCGTTTTGATGAGGTGTTGCTCCAAAGGGGTTGACGGTTTACCTCACAAGTGGTGAACAATTGACAACATGTTCTTGGTAAGATGAAAGATGAGGGAAACATAGTCCGAAAACCGTTGATCTCCTTCAAAGCACCTCAATGTAGATGCTCTGTTAACATATGACATGGATACATGCAGAACTCGTTCCGATGCTTCGGGGACCTCGATATGGAGATCCAAGAAAACCTCCATGAGCCACCCATGGGAACAGGTCATACCGCCAGCGCGTGGCGCGGCCACCGTTTTCTCAAATGCATCCAGTTGGCTTTCGTTGGGTGAAGAGGGCTCTTCCTTTTGTGATTTGAGACCTGACCATTTCCCTTCTGCCAAGAGCTGTTGAGCACGAGGAGACCTTGGTCTTCACCAGCCGGCTGGGTCGTTCGATATCTTCGACCCTCTACGACGCGGATCATCTGCATCTCCAAGGCTCTGGGACTCACTGAAGATCTTGAACATGGCACCCTGGCATCCAGGGCTCAAACTGTTCAGATTGAACCGCAAGCAAGCTATAGTTCACTGTTGGTTTGAACTGGCCTGAGGAACATGGTCATGTATTTCTCGTTTTGAGGGACTTTGAGCGGGTTAAAAATTACCGTAGTCTTGTGTCTTCCTTCTGTCGTGGGTGCATTTGTCGAGCTGTTCCGGCTCGAAAACGGTGAAAAACACCAACTCAGAGACTGGGACCAACCATGTCTTCCTTCGTGAAACTTCCTCAACCGTGGGGCAGTCGGATCGGGCATCCTTGGACCCTCACACCACCGGTTTTCACCACAACCGCGGAGGACCGCCGCAGTATCCAGATTCGACCGGTGGACCGTGAACCCCTCTGGTGGTCTGAAGTGAGGACCTTCGGGCTCTCGAGCCTAGTCTGAATGCTGACGTGGATGGGAAAATGGCCATCCACGTCAGGTGCCATCATGTGCCACGTCGCCATGATGAGTTTGGGGAGTGAGCAAATGCCTATATCATCTATTTCCAGCATGAGGTTCAGCTGTGGACAAAGAATTGACGCAGCCTACAATATGAAGGCTACTTCAACCCTCTGTGAAACACCTGAACACTCTTGCCTCCGGTTCTCATGCATGCTGCACGTGATGGGCAGCTCCGGCAGGGTGTTACCATTCTGGGCAAA